TTTAAAAGAAAGCTTTCACATTTCTGACTAAAGTAATTTACAGTTTTACAATACACAGACTTAATGATAAAAGTATTAATACCTATTTTTACATTTGAAGAAAAATACCCAATGGGTGTACTTTTAGTTTTAGATAAATACAGTTGTTTGTGAAATGTTATTATCCTATTCAAAAGTGTTTTTAAAATATCCAGGATTAATCTTCCGATATTAAGATGATTCATTTCTCAGTGACCTTAAAAAATGTTTACTTGATTTCACTTTAATAAATAAAATAACCAGATCATTAGTAAGTTTTCTGAAGAAGGTATAAAATTAATCTAAAAACAAGAGAATCAAAATAAATTGTTGCTTGAAAACTCGATACTATCTAAACATTTCCTTTTCTGAATGTGAGTTTTTAAAATATCAAGATTGTAAACAATAGGGCCAAAAATAGGTCAGTGGATACCAAGGGCTGGGCTAAGGGAAAGGTTTGATCACTGAGGGGCAGAAGGAGGGAGTTTTCTGGAGTGATGGAACTGTTCGGCACCCTGACTGTGATAGTATAAGGGCCTTCAGACTCACAGAACTGGATACCAAAAGAAAAAACTATCAACGTGTATCTGTCTTGATGATATCATATAGTGCTTGCATGAGTGTTTACATTTGTCAAAACAAATTGAACATTTAAAATGGGAGGATTTAATTGTATGTAAATTATATCTCAATGAAGTTGCTTTTTTGTAAAGGTCAACCTGGCTGTGCCCTGGGTTCTGGAGGCCTGCAGAGGGTACATTTCCAGAATCACGTGGTCTCCAAGTCCCTTGGCTTCCCACGGGACAATGCTGAAAATATCAAGGATGTATTTAGCCTGTGTCAAGACAAAAAGAAGGTCTTGGTAGGGAAAAATGTTTGAGATTTCCCTACTTGGACTGGATCTTGATCAACATTTATCACTTGCTCAGCATTTATCACTGTCCTCATCTGTACAATGGGAACAGTAATTTCCTATCCTCCCACCTCCCAGGTTTGTAGTAAAGATTAGATTGATAGGTTCCTTAAAAAGGACAAGGCGTTTTTCAAATTAGAACCCTTATTTTTCAGACCGAAGTCTTCTGTTATACCTGCCTCTAGTTGATGTCACTCCCAGGCAGTGTTTGAGAATGTGGGTGGGAAGGATGAATGATGAGCATGAGCCCAGCCTGTTCCAACCTCTCACTGCTGGCCATTGCCAAATGCAGGGCAATCCCTGTTTCTCATTCATATCCATTCAGTAGGCATCCTGTGGGCCCTAACTCTCTGCCAGGCCCTGGGCGATATGCTATGTGGGACACTTTAATAATTAGGACTCGATCCCTACTCTGAAGGCATGCAGATCTCTGTGATGCCAGTCCCATGTGAGAAATGCCATAAGGGAAGCTCAGGCACAGTGCTAGGGGAACAGGGGTTATTGCTGTTTCTTTCAGTTTGGGCTTTTTTTTTTTTTTTGAGGAAGATTAGCCCTGAGCTAACATCTGCTGCCAATCCTCCTCTTTTTGCTGAGGAAGACTGGCCCTAAGCTAACATCCGTCCCCATCTTCTTCTACTGTATACATGGGATGCCTGCCACAGCATGGCTTGCCAAGTGGTACCCTGTCCGCACCCGGGATCCAAACCAGCAAACCCCAGGCCGCCGAAGCAGAACGTGTGAACTTAACTGCTACGCCACCCAGCTGGCCCATGGGCTTTTTTAAGAGGCAAGCCACAAGGAGATGGCTTGTGAGCCAGTGGTATTCAGGGGCCTGGTAAATAAGCCATCTCCTTCCCAGAATGAGTCCCTTATTCTGTCCAGCACCATCACATAATTATTGAGCAATTATTTGGTACCAGGCACTGTGCGAAAATGAACCAAAAATGGATTTTCATAGAACCTATGGACTTCTTCATTCTTGTGTTCATTAAACATCTGCTAGATCTGCTTTATGTGTGAGACTCTGTGCCAGGAGTGTGGAATGCAGGTGTGAAAAAGAGTTACTGCTTTGGATTGCTCCTCGTCTCTTTGGAGAGCTCAACAGTAAACGGACTGTTACCTAACTGAGATTGAGGCTATGATCGAGGTCACCCTAGAAGCTGGGGGAGCAGAGAGGAGCACCTGTTCCATCTGTGGTCTGGGAAAACATCCTAAAGGAGGTGATGTCTGAGCTGGGCCTGAGTCACTAGTAGAAATTAGCTAGGTGGAAGGGTGTTGTAAGCAGAGGGAAAAGTATGTGTGGTAGAGGCACAGAAGAGGCAGCACAGCATGTTTGGTAGCTGCTCACTGTGGCTGGAGAGGAGGGACTTTGTAGACAGTAGTACAATTGACCGTGTAAGGAGGGTGAACAGGAAGAGGCTTTTGCTACTTCAGCCAGCAGGCTCCCCAGGACCTCTGAGGACAGACTCATGGGTGTGCAAGGTCTCAGGAGCTAATGCTGCTTGAAACAAGGCTTCTCTGCAATCCGTACCAGGCTCCTCCCCCAGAGTTCAGCTGGCTCCACATTCAGCGCTCCAGGGCAGGCTCCATTAGCTGCCTACAGACCTGCCACTGGCTTCCCTTGCCCTCGCCACCAAGCTCAGAGAGCCCCTCTAATTAGTTATTGATCTGGTATTTTGTTGTGGCTATGCTTCCTGCTCCTGTTGTTAGTCAATTCCCAAGTTAATGAAACCAGATTCTGTAACCTCCCTGTGCCCCTCGGTCACTTATGTCCCTGCTACCATTACAACAAAATGGCTCCAAACAAAGACCACTGAAAATGACTGTCACTCCTCCTGCTAACAGAAAGACAGTGGAGAAGCCTGTGGCATGGGTGTTGTCCTTGGAATCAGCTGCAGATTATGACTGTTGCCTTCGTCAGGTCAAGGCCCCCGGAGCCCAGATCCCTTTCATGGTGGTCTGTGGGCCAGCTCTGGCCTGAGAGTGATGTGGACCCAAAAGCCTCTGCCACCCTCCTGTGCCTATGGCTGTGGGGTGGTCCTGCGGGGAGCCAACGGCTAGTCAGGGAAAAACCACTCCTTCCTTCCTGGATATTTTCCATCCACTCATTTAACTCCTCTCAGCCTCCATTTCCATAAAATAGGCATTCTGGTATCTTCCCCAGGTGTTGTGTGGATCCGTTGGGACACTGTGAAACTTAGAACACAATGAAATAGTATGAGGAGGAGTAATGGGTTTGCTTATTCTTAGAAGGAGTTGAGATCCAGGACAATCTGGAATTGGGTTTCACATGTAGAGAAAATTGCTCTTCTGCCCCCCTGCCCATGTTTATATTAGATGAAACGGAATTAAAAAGAACATCAAAACAAGGGATTAATATCCAGAATATATAAAGAACTCTGATAACAACAACAACAACAAAAAACCTGATTAAAAAATGACTTGAATAGATATTTCTCCAAAAAAGATATAAAAATGGCCAATAAGCACATGAAAAGATGCTAAACGTCACTAATCATTAGGGAAATGCAAATCAAACTACAGTGATCATTTCATAATATAGGTATGTCAAACCATTATTCTGTACACCTTAAATTTATGCAGTAATATATGTCAATTACATCTCAATAAAACTGGGGGAAAAAACCCACAATGGGATACCACTTCATACCATTAGGATGGCTATTACTAAAAAAAAAACCCAGAAAATAACATGTTGGTGAGGATGTGGAAAAATTTTGAAACCCTTGTTCATTGCTGGTGGGAATGTAAAATGGCACAGCCACCCCGGTGGAAAACAGTCTGGCAGTTCCTCAAAACATTAAACATAGATTACCATATGATCCAAGAATTCCACTCTGGGTGTATACCCAAAAGAATTAAAAGCAGGAACACTAAGAAATATTTTTACACCATGTTCATAGCAGCATTATTGATAATAGCCTAATGGTAGAAACAACACAAAGGGCCATTGACAGATGAATGGAAAAGAAAATGTGGTCTCTCCATACGATGCAATGTTATTCAGCCATAAAAAGGAAGGAAATTCTGACACATGCCACAACGTGGATGGAGCTTGAGGACATTATGCTGAGTGAAATAAGCCTGTCACAAAAGGACAAGAACTGGATGATTCCACTTATATGAGATATCTAGAGTAGTCAAAATCACAGAGACAGAAGGTAGAATGGTGGCTGCCCGAGGGTGGGGGGAGGGGGAGTTATTGCTTAATGAGAACAGAGTTTCAGTTGGGGAAGACGAAAAAGTTCTGGAGATAGAAGGTGGTGACGGTTATACAACAATGTGAATGTACTTAATGCCACTGAACTGTACACTTAAAAATGGTTCAAATGGTAAATATTCTGTTATGTATATTTAATGCAGTTTTTAAAATAATGTAAAAAATGGTTAAATGGTAGATTTTATTTTATGTATATATTACCACAATTTAAAAAAAAGAACATCAAAGACCATTTTTAAGGGGAATAGAAGCCTTAAACTGACAGTCCGGCCCATTTAGATTAGAGCAGCAATTCAGCCACATTGGCTTGGGGTCTGAGGCTTTATGGGATCCAGGGGCTTATAAGCAACCCAAGCCTATCTTAGTACCAGCTGGTGTCCTCTGAGTTGCTACCCAGGTGCCCAATAGATCCTCCCATGGGGCGGAGCCAGAGTCATGGCCCCACTGGCCTTACTCTCAGTGGGGCATCTCTGCCCAAGATAGTAATTTTCCATTCTAGTCCTGCCCCAGCTTCTCAGCTGGGTTTGGACCTTCTTTCTTGGTTTGGGGGAAGCATAGCGGGTGTCCTGGGCCCATGCCAGCAGCAGCTAATCCACCTGCCCCAGAGAGCTGAGCACCATGAGGAAATTTCCACAGCTTTCCCAGCCCCCTCTGTGTTCCCGGGAGTGACTTATCCTCTGTTCTCTGTAGGTTTTCTTTTCTTCCGCCTGCAGTGTTGCTGTGGATGCCACCCTGCGGCAGAAGGCTGAAAAGTTCCAAGCTCACCTGACCAAGAAGTTCCGGTGGGACTTTGAGGCGGAACCTGAGGACTGTGCCCCAGTGGTGGTGGAGCTCCCCGAGGGTTCGGAGACTGGCTAACTGGGAGTGCTCTCGGCCATGGGAGGCCCCTTCCCACATGGCTGCAGTCCTGGCCTCTCCATTTATCCCTTCCTGCTGGGACCTGCCAGGGCAGCGGTACCACCAGGTTCCGCAAAAATGGAGCCAGAATTCCCTCCTTCACCAATAAATAAAGTTCCTTCAGTGTCAGAGAGGCTGTACTCATCGTAAAGACACATTTGTGGCCTCTCCATCAGCCTGGCCTTGGTGCTAACCTGACTGAATTCCAGATGGGCTCTTACAGAAGTCAGCAGCAACCTACTTCCTTCTGAATGAGAAGAAATTGAACCAAAAGCCCAAGAGAACTGATTGCTTATTCCATAGGATAGTTAGAAAACAAGAAACCCTGGACTGCCCAGGGGTCTAAGATGTCGGTTAGTGACTTTTTGAAGTTAAGCAGAGAGTAATAGGGAGATGAGCCAGAATTTCTGCCTGCCCCTTGTTGAATGAGAATACGTCACAGAATACAGGGCATATGACCACTCAGGCGCCCCAGACCAGGGAGAGCATAACACAGAAGACAGTTGGATTGAGTGACGAGTGGTCTGCTTTTGCTTTCTCCCTCTAAGTCCAATTCTCCTGTCCAGAGGTCCTAGTTGGAAATCTTCCAAGATTGTTGTGGCCGTTGACCTTAGGGGCCTTGCTGGTGCCGCATCCCTCCCACCTGTCTGCTTCTGAGACCTCAGACCCAGAAGTGGGACTTGGAAACTCCCGTATGGCCCCATTCCTCACTAGAGCCACCATGACTCTTTCTGATGGTCTGGAGATTCAACAACAAAGAGAAGTTCTTGCTCTGGGCAGGCTTCTTCAGCCCTGTGAAAGTTCTGTGCCTTTTCTTTAGAGCTCTGGAGAAGACCTGGTCAGCCTAGATCTGCCCAGTCCTGCTGTGGAGCTGTCAGCCCCAGGAGTCATGATGCTCTGGTTTCCTGAGAGTCCTGAGGGTGTGCCCATCATGCATACAGGCTCTGCCACCCTGACCTCAAACTGCTGTGCTGTGACCAGAGTCCTTTGCTGTTCTTTTCCGAGGCTGTGCCTCACACCGGGTTTCAGAATGAGAATCCCTGTTGGTTAAGACTTTGGTTCCACTTGTTTCCTTGGAGATGTTTTTCCAAGAGCATAATGTATATTAAAGTGACTAAATCCCCTTGTGTGAGTGTCTCTTGTAGTTAATCTGCCCAATTCCCAGAGCAGCCAGGCTGCTGTCCATAGACGCACATCTCCCTCCTGAGCGCCAGGAGACCCTGCCCGGCCTCTGCGGTCTCCGGAGGAGGCCGGCAGCCAGCATGGCCTCCTGTTACTAGTGGGGCTCGTGAGGCCGGCGCAGCTGAAGGGAGCGCTGAGGCCTCTCTCTTTATAATGACCACGAGTTTCACCCGCCGTGAAGTTGTAGTGCTTTTCCTCTCCAAAGTCCGTCCATCAGAACCACCTGAGGAACGTGTTAAAGGTGCAGATTCCAAAGAAATTAAGTCTTGATCCATGCTACAACGTGAATGAACCTTGAAGACATTGTGCTACATGGAAGAAGCCGGACTCAAAGACCACGTGTTATGTGATTCCGTTCATATCAATTATCCAGAATGGGCAAGTCCGAAGAGACAGATTAGTGGTTGCCGGGGCATGGGGGAGAGGGGGATGGGGAGTGAGTGCTAATAGGCATGGGGCTTCTTTTTGGGGTGATGAAAAGGTTCTGGAATTAGTGGTGATGGTTGCACAACCTTATGAACATACTAAAAACCACTGAAAGTGAAAGTGTATACTTTAAAATCGTGGGTTTGACGGCATTAAATTATATCTCAATAATAATTTTTAGAGGTGCAGATTCCCTAGTCCCACCTGGCAGGGATTCAGAGGCAGTGAATCTGCGCAGGGCCTGGGTTTGTGGCACACGGTTTTGAGTGACACTACCTAGAAGTAACAGCATTTCCATTAGCACCTAGAGTGCCATTGGGACCGATTTTATCTCCCACTGGCATTGTCAGGGCAGCACCTGAAAGTTGGATCGTGTGACCCTGTTCTCCAAGCTCGTTGGTCTCGTGACTGTACAGACCCCACCAACACCACGCTCACAAACTGGTTAAGGAAAAGCAGCTACTATTTACTAAATGCTCTGTTCTGTTGCTTCATTTAATCCTCGCAATATGTGATAAGTGCTATTATTATCCCCATTTTACTGATCTGAAAAAGCTTCACTCATTTTGACAGGGTTGCACAGCTAGTAAGGATTGAGGACAGGAGTCAAACCCATGCCTGCTGGTGTCCATAGGCCACGCTCAGCCCCTGCGGAGCTGCTGAGATTTACTCCTTCCCTGCCCTGTGTGTCCAGGACAGCCTTCTGCTCTCCCTGCTTCCCCACATCTAGCCTTGGCCCAGCTGTGTGACCTTGGGCAAGCCACTTATGTTCTCTGGGCTTCAGTCTGCTGATGTATAAAATAAGAGATTTGCTTGGATTTGGGGTTTCTGATGTAGATTCTCCAGGCTCCCTCAGGTATTTGAAAGTGTACCCTTGTTTCAAAAGGGAAACTACATTTACACAGGATAACATGGCTAGGCTGATAAAAAAACAATAGGTCACTTGTTTGGGGCTGGAGTAACATCAACTCTTTCTCCTCCTGCTTGTCCCAGCTGGCAGTCCTCTATACGTCTTTGATGAATAAAAAATGTGAAAACAAATTAATTATTACTTAATACTTGCAGTATTTTTGGAAGGCAGAAATCTTCTAAACTGACAACCAGTGGAGTTGCTGATCTCTAAGCTCCCTTCCAGTTCTAACACATCTAAAAGTGAAGCTATTGGCAGGACCTGGCCTGGTTTTAAAATCCCCTCAAATGCAGACCTCCTGGGGTCTGGATCTTATTTGCAAGGCTGCTTTATCCTATTAACAGAATCAGCAGAGGTAGCGACTTCCCAACCCCTTCCGCTGTCCCCGTGGCACACCCTCACTGCTCTGAGCCCCGTTCTGTCTAATTTCTCAGCACTTGATCAGTGGAGGAGTTCCCTGCTGCTGATTGCCTCTTACCATCGCTAATTATTTTCCCAACGTCATCCCCTTGTAAATATTATGTAATATTCCCAGGGCGCTGTGACATGCCAGTCTCTCCAACTAATAAGACTTTGGTTTGACTGAGATGCTGTCCCCTGCTGAAAAGGGGCCTGGAAATCCAGATTGAATGCCCTGGGCAAGGCCATCACTGCCGCCAGATTTAAAGCAGACCCGGGTGGGACGCTCACCTGAACTACCTGCTGAGCCTGGGCGTGGTGTGGGGCTGTGATTCCCAGAACCCATCGCTCGTTCGCCTGTTTCGTCCCCTGCTGCCTGCAGCAGCTCCTCACCTCAGAGTTCACCATGTCTGGCCCAGGCAGCCTGTGTTTTCATTAGAAATCCTTCTGTCTCCAGAGTAGCCAAGCACTCTGGTGCTGGCTCACTCTCCTCCCAGCCCTGGGCTCCTGCTGTGGACTGGCCTCCCTGCTGGGATGGTGGGATGAGAAACAGAAATCTTGTCAGCTGCTCCCTGCTGGGGATGGGGGCGGGGGGGCACGTTGTCTTTAATGTGGTGTCCAGCTACTCCCCAACCCACCAGGCACTCTGTCCTGTGTCCTGGATTTGGCGCTCACCTGAGTAGACTCCCTAGATTTCTCTGGAAAATAGGGATCCTGAGGGTTGTAGGGCTGTCAGTTAAAATGCTTGGTGGGAGGAAGGTAGGAGAAGTAGGGGGCCCCTCAGTGAAGTGGTCCAGAGTCGGGTGGCCTGTATGAAAGAAGCGCCACAGGTCTCTCTCCCTTGGATCTTTGTCTTGCTTCTTCTCTCCCCAAATTTCTCCACTTTCCATCTGTCCACCTGCAAACATTTTTACTTGGCTTGAGTCTGAACTCTACACTTCCAGGGGGATGCCAACAGATGGAGTTACATCTTGAGGAGAGGGAGCTGTCACGGGAGAAGCAGTTGGAGGAAAATGCAGGACTTTCACCAAGAGTAAGAGCATGAGAGGGCTGTCCTGAAGGAGGTCTCCACATGCTTCAGAGCGCAGAGGTAGGACCCACGGGAGATGCCCTGGGGAGGCAGAGGTCAGCTCGTTCCTTCTTCATCCAACCACTGCTTTCTGAGAGCCTGCCCCTGTGAGCATGCACTCCAGCTGAGGCAGAAAATAAGCATAATAAGTAGATTATAGAGTATGTTAGTTGTGAGAAATGCTCTGGAAAAAAATAGAGCAGGATAAGGGAAATTGAGTGTCCTGGCAGCATGAAGGGAGATGTTGCAATTTAAATGGGGTGACATTTGAGCAAAGATTGGAAGGAGGTGAGCAAGTGAGCCATGTGGGTATCTGGGGGAAGAGCATTCCAGGCAGAACGAACAGTGAGTGCAACAGCCCTGGGGCAGGAGCATGTCTGGTGTGTTGGAGGAACACCATGGGGTCAGTATGGTGAGAGTGGAGTGATCAAGAGAGAGAATGGTAGGAGAGGAAATCTGGGAGGTTACAAAGAGATCAGATTGTCCAGGGCTTAGGGGCTGTCGTAAGAGCATTGCATTTTATTCAGTGAAACAGGGACCTGGTAGAGGCTTTTAAGCATAAGAGTGATGTGATCTGATTTCTGTTTTAACTGGATCACAAGTTGCTGTGTTGGATGAAGGCTGCACGGGGCAGGTGGAAGCAGGGAGACCAGTAAGGAGGTTACTGCCATAATCCAGGTGAGGGATGAGGGTGATTCAGCTCAGAACAGTAGGTATCAGGTGTGCACTGGGGCTGTAGTCACAATTCAGGTGAGGGATGGACTGGATGCCTTTCAAGGGCCCTTCTAGCCTGATAGCCCCTACATCTCTGAAGTCTCAGAATCTGGACATAATACTGATTCGTTGGGTCCTGCCCCCGCAACAGGAGTCCCCTCTCTACTTGTCCCATCACGGGATCTGTCAGCACTTCCTGTTCCCAAATGTTCATGGTATATTTGGGTAGGTGGGGCAATGATGCAGGATTGCGGAGGGCTGTCACAAGAATTCTGGGTGGTGGGATGGAGGTGGGGACTCGAGACAGCTCAGTTGAAAAGTGGTAAGTGAGTTAGA